AATGTTGCGCCAGTCATAATGAAAGCGGTGTTGGACGAAATGCTATCACAAGACAAAACAATCTGGAAAGGAGCGTCATCATGCATTGATGATATTTTTGTGAATGAAGACATAATACCTGTTTGTCGCGTAGTTGATCATTTGGAAATTTATGGGCTTCATTGCAAGCCGGTGGTCCGCGTATCCAATGGAGCAAGAGTTCTTGGTTTACAAGTTTATTTTTTCGAAATGGAAAATAAAAAGTTGTGTTGAAGAAGAGATAATGATTTTGGTGAAATTCCGAAATCGCTAACAAGACGAAACATCTTTTCTTTGTGGGGAAAAATGATAAGAAATCTTCTAGTTTGTTGTTGGTTGCGTGTGGCCTTGTCATATGTTAAAAGAACAGCAAATGTCCTGACGAAAACGTGGGACGAAAAAATAAAATGCAATTATCTAGAGAAAATGCTTAATGATATGGTGAAAAGAACACGAAATGACAATCCTGCTATGGGAGTTTGGAGTGTTTACAGTAACGAGGCAACAATTTGGGTAGATGCTAGTTCGATAGCACTAGGCGTAGTTTTCGAGGTTAATGGCAATGTAATCGAAGACGCTTGTTGGTTAAGAAAAGACAGCACAACACATATAAACATGTCTGAACTTGATGCAGTAATTAAAGGACTAAATATAGGCCTTATTGGAAAATGGAAGTTCTGCGCATATGCACTGATTCGAAAGCGGTATTCCATTGGGTTACCGACGCACTCACGGGAAAATCTAGATTGAGAACAAAGCTTCAAATGAAATGCTGATATGAAGAAAACTTCATAACATTGAGAATATAGTGGAAGAATACCAACTCAAAGTAGATATTAAACTTGTTGCTTCGGAATTTAACTTGGCCGATGCCCTTACTAGAGTGCCTAATAGTTGGTTAAAATTGGTTGGTACACCCTCTGAAATGGCAGCAAGTGGCATTATTAGTATTTCGCTATCTTCCAAAGAAATCAAGCACGTTCATAAATCCACAGGACATTATGGCGTGAAGAAAACATTGTACTTCGCTCGTAAAATCGACCCGTCAGCGAGCAAGGAAGAAGTAAAACAAGTTGTTGAGAAATGCATAGCCGAAAGGGGAAATAGAAGTAAAGAGAACGTGGCAACGACTTGGCATGGACATAACTCATTATGAGTGGCAGATATCTTACTTTGATCGCCTGTCACTATCTTACTTTACAGACAGCGCTATTTACTTTGATCGACTGTGGACCTACACGGTATGCAATATGGCGATATCTTAAAGATTAAACCAGTGCATGTGTTATTCAGGAATTAAACGCAATATTTCTCGAACGAGGAGGTCCGGATGAAATACAGACGGAAAATGATACTGCATTTCGAAGCACATTTTTTTTTCAGTTTGTAAATAAATGGAACGTTAAACTTCGATTCAGATGCGCCTATGTACCTTCGGGAAATGGAATTGTCGAACGATGACGAACTAAACTGTCAAAAGAACGGCATTGAGAGTTCCGTGCAGCATACTGGAGGCAGTTTTTTGGTATAACGTTAGTCCAAAAGATAGTTGTAAGTCTTCTACTGCCCCTGCAAATAAGTTATATCAATACGAAGTTAGAGTAAGAGGTATTGATAACAACAAGAGTGCACATGATCCTTGTAGGAAGATAACCAATAAATTCAAACTTGATGATAAAGTATGGGTTGAACCCCCGGATAGACGATGCAACTCTCAATATAGGATTGGAATAATTACAGGGATAATCTCGGAGCAAACGGTAGAAGTGGACATAATGTGTCGAAATGTATGAGACCTAAGGCAAGTAAGAGTTGACAACTATTCGAATAAAAATTTTGGACAAGGAAGAGGTAACAATGATTTAAATGAGGATGATAAAGAATTATACGTTGTGCTGCCTGGAGAAAAAACAAATAAGATGCCAGCGTTACGTAGAAGCACACGAAAATAGAGGGCTCCTAAGCGATTTATTCCTTGAGATGGTCATTTTGACCAAGGGAAGTGTAAAGTGTAATTATATTTTATGATTGTTAACGATCGATTTGCATTAATTGTAAATAGTTGTATATAATATTAAGTTATAGTTGTAAATACCAAGAGAATATGATTGTATATAAGTTATGTTGAACTGCATTAGAAAAGATGAGGTGTTTTAACGCTAAACTTACAAAGTTAATTTTGATGTGAAACTACAGTTCCTCGGGTATGAATGTTTCTATTGAAGAAACTGCAAATGTGAATAAATAACTGTGTTTATGAGTTAAAAACTGTGAAAATATTGAAATTACTTAAAAACTTTGGCATATAAATTCGCCGAATGGTCACATTCGAGCAGTGAACGCCAAAGGGAAAAATTAAGTACATCAGAGAAGAATTATTTTTCAAACAAAGCATATTTTGACAGTTGTCAAGACAAAAGTAAAGATTAATAGAAGAATATTTTAAAATGTACTCGTATGATGACAAAAATAAGACAGGCAACTATTTCCGCGACTATTTCCGCGACTATTTTTAATTGAAATTACTCCATCAAGTTTTGAATGTGAAAAAATGTTAAAAAGAGGTTGTGACATTTACTTTAAAAAATAGAAATATTAAAAATTGATGTAATATTTAAATAACTAAGTTTAGTAACTTAGTTGTTCAAATATTATATCAATTTTTAATTTTTCTATTGACCTTTTAGGTTTATATTAACCTATTATATTACATGATCTTTTAGATTTATATTAACCGTAAAATAAATGATCACATAAATAGGTTCAATTAGTTTAAAGTCAGAGTGATGCATTTTTTTTGTTGTTGAAATAAACAACATTTTTGGGTGGGGTAATGTGAGTGTAAATGTCAACATGTTTTGTGTCGTTAAGAATCTAATACTTATACAACAATTAATACCTTTAAAATTAAAATTAATATAAATTAGAAGTCTGACTATGTTTCTGGATTCATTTTTCTGGTGTCATGTTGCTATGATTTCCTTTAAATGATGATTAAATTAAAATTAAAAAACTAGTAGATAACGCAGTGCAGTAGCTTCGAAAGCTCATTGAATTTTAATTTTATTTTATGTAGAACAATGAATCTCTAATATATAACACAAAAATTTTTGAATAATTTTCAATTAAGCTATAGCTTTACATTCTTTCTTAAACATAAATTCATCATGCCTTGACTTTTATAAGTACTTCGACTTTTAAATTTAAATATCATATATTCAATTTGGAGAATTATAATTTTATTTATTCTATATATTAAGAAAATTCGTTAAAAAAATAAACTACGGAAATTGAAACAAAACAATGCTCTGCATTCCTTTGAAATTAGCTAGCAAAGATAGAAAAAAAATGTTCATTTTGCATTTCTAATTTAGCGCTTTGAGCGAGTAAAGTTCTTTTGCGTTTAAAACATCTTTTAAAGTACTCTTATTTTTATTCTCTTGATCAAATGTTTAAATATAATACATACTCAATGACGTCATATTTTACTATAATACATACTCAATGACGTCATATTTTACTATAATACATACTCAATGACGTCATATTTTACTATAATACATACTCAATGACGTCATACTTTACTATAAATTAGTAATACTTCATTGAAAAAAGATTAAAATGTAACTTAGACCCACATTACCCCACTAAACGGGGTATTGTAGGTCTATAAAATACAACTTAAATCAGTGCTTCTTAGATAACTTTCAAAATTATGTATAAACTTTTATTGATGTTTACAAAAATTGATGCTTACAAAAATTGATGTCTAATCAGGGTTTTAAGATTGTTTTACTATATACATTTTTTGCTCAAAATCAAAAGTAGATAAAACCAGGCCTATATTACCCCAACTTACCTTATATATATCTACCCCAGTCTGCTGTTATTAAAAAAACTTTTTTTTTTTAAATTTAAATTTATACAACAAATTTCTTTCTTTAGACGAGTCTCTAAGCCAGCGATGATTGCAAATTAATTAACAAGTGTAATTAGCAATCAAGAAGATATGAAAAAGACGATGAATACATTACAAATTCAATGTATCTGTAACAAAGTTGATTTAAACAATCGATTCTTGTTTGAGCTTTAAAAAAATATTTCACTGTTAACTAAGTCATTGAAAGAAATAGAAATTATAACAAAGAAGATGAAAAATCAAAAAAAAAAGGAAAGTTATCATAAAAATAATTATTTATAAATATATATTTTACATAAATACTGTTCATTTAGTAATTAATTACAGTTGCGAACAAACGTTTATGTTTTGTTTTTATTTTGTTTTATAACTTTTTTATATTTGTTCATCACAACTTGCATCAAACTATATTTTAGGCTAAATATATTTTTGATATTGGGAGTAAAAAGCTTTAAAACAAATACACTTCATTTAATTTTTTGTAACGAGTATCGAATTTGTTTTAGATCACTATTTAATTACTTTACATGTTTATTTCTTAGATCTTATAAATCTACAAAATAAAGACCTTAAAAAGATCAAAGTTACTTTGCCCTAAAACTAATTATAAAGAAGCATAAATAAAATTATTAAATTTGTATGAATAGATTAGTATATTAAATACACAGAGATGCTATTACATTAACATATTCAGCATTAATATATACTACTTATTCAAAATTTTTCTTAAATAAAATTGTTCTTTTATAAATATTATAAATTTTGAAATGTTTCAGTTTGCATAGTTTTAGGGAAAATAACTCTGGTAAATCTAGTCTGGTAAAACATATATATAACATATAGCTGTATATATATATATATATATTTATATATATATACACAGCTGTATATATATTTATATATATATATATATATATATATATATATATATATATATATATATATATATATATATATATATATATATATATATATATATATATATATATATATATATATATATATATATATATATATATATATATATATATATATATATATATATATATATACAGCTGTGAGCATGAAAATAGCAGTATCTGGAATATTTTGAATATTATTGAGCAACTTTTTTTTACTAATTACTAAAAAAATTTTATTATATTTATTTTGACACTTAAATTTAATAGAATAAAAAAAATCACATCAATAGTAGTTTTACATTTGAGGCCCTTACGCATGGGAGGGGGGGGGGGGTGCGTATGGTGCGTATAGTGCGTACGCACTCCCCCCCCCCCCCCTAATTTGCGAAAAGGTCCACATTTTATATAATATTAAATTTTTTATAGGAAAAATTGCAGCTTTTACTTATACTTTACAGATACGTTTTTCGTTTCATATTGATTAAATTTTTCTATACTACGGTATTATACACTTTTAACGTCGCTAAGTCTTGTCATACTTGTACATACCAAAATATAAACACTATAATGTCTTCATTAACATTCGTACGATTTTTTTTGACAACAATTTTGTTTTTAGCTTCGCGTTTGCTTATTACCCCAACCAGGTGCTATCGTAGATTAATTATTTTGTTTTATTTAAGTTCTCTTTATATATTACACTTTTAATATTATACGTTTAGATTACCACATCAATTATTTCTCATCCAATACAGTTTTTATATTTATCCCGTATATTTTCATTGTTTATTATTGCAAATATTGTTTATTATTATGTATGTTATTGTTGGACACAATGATAACTCGATGTATGCACTGAAGCTCTTGTAGCATTTTATTGTTTTTTAGGATACCACCTCACAAGGGAATATATTTTTTATTGTTTGATTTTTGTATTATTTTATCTGATAATATATTTTCATTTTTGTATTTACATTGATATTATTAATATATGATATATTTATAATTTCATTTTTTTTTAATTTACACAGTTATTATTATCAGAAATTGCAAATATGAATATTCAAATATATGATTAAAAAATTATTAAAAAAAAAAAGCATTATGACATTTCTGCAAGTAGAAAAAACATATATCCGAAACTTTTCTCTTTGAGTTCTATATCCAATTTTGATATTTAGAGTACATTCTTGTGTACTACGTATATCTTTGGATTTCTTTGCGTCTATAAGCATACACGGCCCATTATGATCCATCATATGTAAGAAATTACATACATTATTAAGTTTTTAATGATTCAAAATGGATTCTTGAATGTAGTGAATAATATGATAAACTGCATCTGTGGTACAGTTCCTCCTTTTACATAATTTAAAAAAAAAGGTCAATTTGTAAATAGAACTATTGTTTTTTGAGTGAACTAATTTCTTATGAAATAGTTATTAAAATAATCATGTATTGCAAAAAACATATATAGAGTGCATTTCCATATAAGTTGATTTTGTTTCTTTTCCAGAAAAAATCCTTCCTGGACCACACTCAGTGACTCTTCATATACTATGGGGCGCAAAGAGCAAAATAAAAGAACACGAATATCAGCAGCTAAAACTTGTCAATCTCTAGATGGATAAGGTACAAAAAAAAACTGAAAATCATAATCAATTTATCAATGAAAATGCACCAAATACTAATACCGCAATTTCTAAACAACATGATTCTATTGATAGTCCTCCCGCTAAAATATCTCGTACTACCAAACAATCAGATTCTGAATCTCTTGCTTTCACCAAAAATGTTAGTAAAATATTGAATGCTACAATGAATTATGAAGAATTGAGTATGGCAATGAGGACACTCGATGATACTCAAAAGTTCGTTTTTTGAATAATCACTTCTAGCCACCTATAGAATATATTTTCCCGTCACAATTTCTTTACAAATGTCAGCGTTTCTTCACAAATGTCAGCTTCACAAATGTCAAGGCAAAATACTTGACGGATTACAAATGGATGGTCTACAGTCCATTACTGAATGGCGCATACTGTATCCGTTGTTCGGTGATAACTCCTATTTCCAAAAGACAGAATTTGAGAAAATTCGTAAATAAACTATTTACCGCGTTTCATATGTTTGACGAGAAGGCAAAACAGCATCAAACAAAAATAAGCCACCGCGATGCATTTTGTCAGAGACGTTCTGTAATTTAATCAAGAAGCCAAATTAAAACATTGATAATCGTTTTGATGAAGAAAGAAAGATTAATATTGAAAGGAATCGACACATTGTAAAAACATTAGCTGAGGCAATTCTTTTCTGCGGAAGACAGTGCATTGCTCTGAGAAGTGATGAAGAAACATTGTCGGCATCTGATAATTCGATAAAATACAACCCGGGTAACTTTTTGGCAGCGCTCCAAATTATTGCGAAACATGATGAAATTCTACATCAGCATCTTTCCCATATTGGTATCAGTAATCGAAATGCAAAATAAACCTCTTCGCGTATTCAAAACGAAATTATAACAATTATTGGATACGATATCATCCGTCGTGACTTGGTTAAAGAAATAAAAGCTGTTACGTTCTACAGTATTCTTGCAGACGAGCCATAATCGTGAGGAACTTGCATTTTACATTAGATTTGTTGATCAAAACAAAGACATTCGTGAAGAATTTTTATCTTTTCTCCATGTTCCAAGAATCACCGGAGAAGTCATTGCTAGCACCATGATTCAATTTCTGCAAGACGTCAATCTCAATTTAAAAAACATTCGTGGTCTAGCAAATATGTCTAGTGACAATGTAGATGTTCAGAGAAAAATAAAGAATGAGTCTCCAAAGGCTGTATATGTCTACTGCAGTGGACATTGCCTTAATCTTATTATAGCCCAATTGTGTTCTCTTCCAAATACAAGAAATACCATTGCCAAACTGAAGAACTGCTGTCTGTTTTTCCTTGCCAGTCCAAAGCGCGAGAGTCTTCTGCAATCAATCATCATGAAGGCATTACCAGACATTTTTAAACCCAGAAAAGGTCTCATTGACCTATGTAAAACAAGGTGGTCTTCACGACATGACTCATACAGACATTTTTATTAAGCATACTGCTACGTAATTATTGCTCTGGAATATATTGCGTATGGTGCGAACAAAGATGCATGCGGAAAAGATTTCACAAATGTTACATGGGATACAACATCCAGAGACAAATTCAATTCGTTGCTGACAAGTCTTACGTCTTTTGACTTTATTATAAGTTTCTTGACTATGAACCAATTCCTGTCACATTTGGAAGGAATAACTGTGAAATTACAAGGCGGCACTGTAGATATTATCATGGCATATCATGAAATTGCTGAGGTGAAATCTGTTTATAAAGACATTTTAAGAAACATAGACGAAGAATTTTTGCATGTCTACACCCAAGCGAACGAATGGCACGTTCTGTCAATACCAACAAAGCCAAAGACTGTTGGACGTTAAATAATGCATAACAATGCTCCTGCAATTAATCCTGAGGAGTATTATTGACGAAATCTCGCCATTCCATTCCTTAACCACATAAGCTCAAAGTTGGAGAGTCAATTTTCTGACTTTTCCATCCTCTCCTCTAAACTGTTGGGGCTTGTACCATCTACTCTCTGTGAAGAGGGAGGAGCATCTCTTCAAAATGTTGTCGAGTTTTATGCAGAAGACTTACCATCTGCTGATTTGTTTCCCCAAGAGTTGTTTCGATGGAAGCATCGTTTCCAAAACAACCTCTTGAAAGAATGTCCTTCAACTGCAGCGCAAGCACTAAAAGAATGCGACGATGAGTTATTCCCAAACATTTTCACTCTTCTGAAAATTTATTGTTCAATCTCAGCGACCAGTTGCAAATGCGAACGTAGTGCTAGTGCATTGCGCAGGCTCCATACATATTCGAGAGCAAGTATGAAGCAAAAAAGACTCTCTGCACTTGCACTAATGCATATCTACTATGGTAAAGTTATTTGCGAAGAGAAAATTGTTGATATATTTTTACAAAAATATCCTCGGCGTCTTCAATAACGATCTGTTTTGACTGAAATTATTTGACTTCACACAAATTCAGTGTCGGTGCTTATTAAGCTTGTGTGTCATTATAAAGTTTATATTAGTGTATTATTTTGGAAGCAATATATTTGATATGTTGTAAAAATGGTCCACTTTTTCAAATTTCGGACCCTCCCACGAAAAATCCTGCGTACGGGCCTGCATTTTATTTCAGTAACAAAACGATAGTATTAAAAAAAGGTTTCAGTCATTGAAATAGCAGTCGTATCTGAAAATGGAAAAAAATTTTTTTTTCTAGAATTAAGAATTAAAAAAAAAAAATTTTAACATTAAAAAGATAAAAATAAGTATAATATAATAATATTTACCTTTGTTGCAAAAGCTTTGTTTTGAATAATAATTTCAGAATTTATTTGCGAACTGCAAACGTTTAGCGGTCTGTTTTTTTTGTCAACAAAGGAACCTTTCGTGGACTGTATGCATATAAACTGTTCTCTCTTAAACGTCTACGAACAGTTGTGTCACTCACATGTAATTCAAGATCATCTTTGATTTGCTTGGCCGATAAAAATGGTTTACCTTAAACATATCTGACAATTCTAAACATATCTGACATTCTTAAACATATCTGACAATTCTTCTTGTGCGGTAGTCTTACGTTTTCCACCTCGTTTTTCAACTTTTGCTTTATATTTACTTTTTTTAATACTATCAGATATGTTTAAGGCATTTGAAATCATCTTTGGTGAACATCCGAGAATATTTTGCATATATGAGTAAAATTTACCCCCTCTATGATGCTTCAAAATAATGTTGCGTTCTGTTGGTGTACAATGACGTCCTCGGCCCACTTTGAAAGGTTTAGAAAAAGTTTTTATTATTGAGCATACACAAATAAATAAAGTATATATTATAATTGAAATTATACTTACATTTCCTGTAAATATTACAAAAATTCCTTTAGTTTTTACAAACTAACTTTAAAACCAATACAACAACTGCTATATCTATAGTCTACAAATAGAGTGCTCAATGTTCTTAAAGAACTGACCACAAAAAGTTAGTAAAAACATTTATTATTTCTAGTTTATTTCTTCGACAGGCTGTCCCCTTCTGCAGGTTCATCATATATATATATTATTTATTTTTTTGTGCCTTAAAAAGCACAAAAAAAAAAGTATTTTAAAATATAAGTATTTAAAAAAATTTATTATAAATAACTTATTTGTATGTTGCTCAAAATAGAGTTTTATAAGTGAAACATTTTAAAATTATGTTTTTATAAGTGAAACATTCTAAAATTATGTTTTTATAAGTGAAACATTTTAAAATTATGTTTTGCCACCTCAAAAGCATTATCAGAGCAATAGCGTGGCAGAACAAAAATAAATTATTACTTATACACAAAAACATATTACAATAGACTCTAATTGTAATGAAATTTAAGAAGAATTAAAGCTATAAATTTAAGTACCTAGAAGAATTACTAGATAAAAACAACGACATTAATGTCATATTAGAAAAATTGTTCCAACAAGTGAAATTACTAAATTCCAAAGTCAATATGCGTTTATTGACTTTTAGCTTAGATATTATAGCTTAGATATATCTCAGGCTTTCAAAATATTTAGTTAAAAAAGTTGTGTAAATAAATTGCTTAGAGTTATTTGAACTCTTTATGAAATTAAAATCATTTGTTTTAACAACACTGTAATTAGTTGTCACACTGTAGTTATTAGCACGTCAGCAAATGTAAGTTAACTTATTTAAAATTTTCGTAGCATCTATAATTCGTAATACATGTTTAAATGCATACATGAAATCAAATAATGCTTTTACAGAATTTATACGGTATAAAACGAATGAGATTGAACTAGATTTAAATTCATCAACAAATTTTATCAAAAAATACTTTGTTTAAAAATTAAGTTGCTTAGAAATTTTGAAAAACACAAAAATTACAACTTTCTCATGTTGACGAAGATGGAAACTTATCATAGTAACAACCAGTGGCGGATTAAGAGTTTTTGAGGCCTGGGGTCATTTTAAAGCAGGAGACTCCATTCCATATCATTAGTCAAAGATTTTATTTTCAGAGATTTTTTAAAAATATCTTTTATTGAATAGGGACCCCAAAAGTACGGGACCGAGGGCTATCGTGCCACCTTAATCCAGGTCATAACAGTTGAATACAAAGAAATCTTTTGAGAAGATGGAAGAAGGGGAAAACCCCTCAAATAATTATTTTCTAAAGTAAAGAAATAACAAAGTTACTACATGTTCCAAATAAAATTACACAAAATGTTAAGAAGATTTATCATAGAAAATGGCACTCCGTTAGCAACATGGTAACTAAGGAAAAATGTCAAATTAGTTTCCTCACCCTGGCCAAGATTGCAGGTTATAAGAATTTTTAGCTGATTTTTTTCCAACTTTTAGTAGAAAGATAGATCTATGCAATAAGCAGACAAATTTCATTTAAATCATTCAAGCGGTTCTCAAGATAATTCTGCCGGGAAATTAAAAACACGCGTTCTGAGAAAAATGACAATTAACTTAAAATTGTGATGAAAAATATTTAAAAATAACAGAAAAACAAAAAATATTTCATAAAAAGAGCATATTAATAGTAGTTTTTAATCATGAACCCTAGTCCAATACATATTTCCTTCTTTTTGTTTAAATTTGTCAGATTTTTTATTTTTGTGGCCTCTTAAAACCTTCATTTGTTTCTTAATGGTGTCTTGATTTTTATACTCTGGCATGCTAATTCTTCTCTGGTTTAAGTAATTACATCCAGAAATGGTATGCTGTCCTGATATCATATTAAGTTTTTTCAAATATAAGAATACTAGACTTAAACATACTTTGACACTGGAATTCTGGAATATATCATATAAGGACCGGCGAATATTCGTTAAAATTCAGGTTACGAGGTTTACTGAAAGGCGAAGTTGACTTCGGCTTCGACTTCAGTGCCGAATTTGAAATAGAAATTCGGCTTTCATTTAAATTCGGTAACATTTGCAAAATTTCATTTAACTTTCAGTTAAATTCGAAAGTCATTTTTAAATTTTTATTAAAAAATAACTTTTTCGAATTTTAATAATTGTTATTTTTTTTATTTTTTTCAGAAAAACAATTCATCACTTATTAAATTTTACTTTCAAAAAATCCTCAAGTTAAAAAAAGGAAAATATTTTACATTCTTCACGATCTTTTTGACTTTTTTTCTTTTTGACACAAATTGACTTTTGAAATTTTTTAAATAACGTCGTTTATTCTTTTGTTAACTTTCGTTTAAGATTTGTAAAGATTGCATAAATTAAGTTCTCATTATTGCGGCGTTTTTAGATAATACATTTATTTTTTTCGACGCAAGTTGTTGATTTTTGTAAACGTATATTTTTTGTTTCAATAAATAAAAAATTACTTTGTTTCACTTGTGTTTCGTCACGTTTTGAAATACGTTTAACTAAGAGCTAAAGAATAATAATTTTGGTTTACAAAAAATGATTATTTGAAAACTTTCATTGATTTAAAAAAAAAAACAATTTAACGGTTAAATTAATTAATTGGTTCGCAATTAAATTAATTGGTTCGCAAAAAAGTTCGTTGTCCAAGTTTGTTTTTTTGTTTTGTTTTTTTAAAGTTTTTAGTTTTTGTTAATTTACGAAAATTTTTTTTATTTCATTATATTATAAATACCCGATGAAAATAAGCGATCGAAAGGAACAATAATTACATTTTCATTTAGTTGATTGTTCACTGCCGTTTTTTTTTCCACTCCAAAAACTAACATTTGTGATTAACTTTATATTTCACTTAACTTTGAAAAAAACTAAATTTATAAAACGGAAATCATGCCTCCAGTAAGTTTAATCTGGGAGCATTTCCTCAAGAACACACCAGTAAACTTTAAATCAACTTGTAAAATTTGCGGAGATATACTTGTCACACCCCAACATTCAACATCTACTCTCCACGTTCACATGAAAAGGAAGCACAAAGACATTAACAAACAGTTTGAGGAGAAGAAAAAGAGAGTTGCTGCAGAAGAGCTTGCTAGTACAACAAAAAGATCCAAAAGTAGTGTTGGTCTTTCCATTCAACTATCAATTACAGAATTCATAGTACAAAAGAAATCTTATGCAAACAATGATATCCAACAAGTCAGATTTGACTACAATCTGACAGATATGCTTTGCAGAACCAACACTCCATTCAATATTGTCTCCACTGCAGGTTTTGTTGATTTCATCAATCGATTGACTCAAGGGTTATTGTTAAAGACGCAACCAACTATTACAGAAAGTATCTACCAGAACTTTATGAAAAAGTTAAGAAAAGTGTCCTTGCTGACTTTGCTAAAGATATTCTAACACTAACTGGTATAACATTCACTACTGATATGTGGACAAGCAGAAACAATGATGCTTTCAGTGCATTAACTTGCCATTACATTTCATAAGAATTTGAACTTAAATCATTCCTTGTTGGAATGGAACCACTCAGGGATGAAAGACACACTGGGAAAGCAATTGCCTTTCAGTTAGATGCCCTGATTGACACCCTCAATCTGCTTCCAAAGGAACAAACACACAGGTAATTGCTTCAAATTTCAATCGCATTTTGTTTAACTTCGTATTTACTTTTTCATAAACCTAATGCTTTTATTTAAGTTCGCATTTTACATTTTGTTACCAAACAACTTTAAAAAAATAATATATAATTTATGTTTTAATTTTGTGTAACATTTGTTTAAATTTTTTAAGAACCAAATCTTTCTGTTAAAGTTTGTATTTTGTTTATGGTCATTTAAAGTTTAGACGAACTAAACATTTTTGTTATCATTTTGTTTAGTTTTATAATAATAATATTAATAATAACAAGTAATAATAATACTCATAATATTTTTTGTTCCTAATTTTTCAGATGGTGCGTCAATGACAGAGGTGCAAATATTATCTTGGTTGAAAAAAGCTTGCAGTTACAAACAGAAATTATATGTGCTGATCACACTTTACACTTGATAGTGACAAAAAGCATTGTCACTATCAAGTGTAAAGACTCTTTGATCAGTTTCACTAGCGTGAAACTGATCAAAGAGTCTGTCAAAAAATGTGGTGAGTTGGCTGCTCATCTGCACAGAAGCACATTGTCATGTACCAAACTCAAAAAAGTTTGTGCTGACTTAAAAATCACCTACAAAAAGGTTATTTTGTCTTGCAAGACTAGATGGAACAGTTAGTTTTTGAGTGTGAAGTCAGTCTTTGACATCCGGGAGGGTCTTGAAATGTTAGTCCGAGAAGAACACCCGTTTGAGGACAAAGTTCCATCTCACACTCAGTTTTAGATCTTAAAGAAGATTTTGCCTGTTCTTCAAAAGTTCTATGATTTTTCTCTATAGTATAATTATATATATATAAAAATATATAAAACATATAAAAACTCGTTTGTTTTATATTTTTATAAACCTGAAATTAGATGTGTGTTATTTAAAACTAAATTAACATTTCGTTCACATTTGTTTTGCTATTTTTTATTTTCATGAAATTGGGTACATATGCGTTTACTTATTTACTATTCTATGTGCTTATAGCTATGTCAATATCAGACTTGCTGACCAAAAGAATGAAGAATATATGAAACAGTTAGCAACGACAATGGATGAGCAAATTACAAAATACTATAAAGAAGATGGCATGGAAAACACCACCTATGCGATTGCTCACAAACCAGTCTTCCAAGGCAAACTACTTAAAACAAAGCATGACAGATATAAAATGACCAAAACATGGATTCAAATTGAGCATCATCTAGACTCATTTGCTAAGGAAATTGAGTCACCCTTACTTCTGGAGCGAGCACCTACTAATATTCTAGATTCTGACGAGATTGACTTCTCCTACCAAACCCTGGCTACACTAACTCAGGATGATCTTAGTTTCAAATCAAAATTTAAAAACACTTCTGACATTCAAGCAGAACTAGAAAAATATCTTTCATTACCATTGGTAGCAAAAGAAACTGATATTTTACAGTGGTGGAAGAGCATGGCACCACAATATCCAAAGCTGGCATCCGTTTTCAGGAAAATATATTCCATTCCAGGTTCATCAGCTTCTTCAGAAAGAGTCTTTTCTGCAGCTGGGCAAGTTGTCACTTGGACTCGAACCAATCTTAACAACAACAATGTAGAAAAGCTTGTCTACATTACACAGAACTATCCAAATGTGCAAAAATATTTAAAATTATAAGACAAAGTTTAAGGTTTTAACTTGTAATATTTTCTGGTATTTGCTAAAGATCAATCTACTTGCATTCTTTAAATTATCAAATTTCATTCTTAAAATTATTAAATGCATGTTAATTTGGCTAATGCATGTTAAGTTAAGCTAATGCAAGATAATGGATGATAACGCAGTCTTGGTGCAGTGGTTAGAGTTCTGGATCAGATCCCAGAGATCCGAGATTCGAGGTCCAATAAGTGAAATTGAAAAGGAAAGAGGCGTGAACTTCCTAGTTAAATGCTCCTCCGCGGTGCTCTGTGGTAAAACTGTTAGGACTTAAGGAAGCACTTTAATAACTACAAAAAAAAAAAACAGTTAAAACTCAACATAAAAGTCCAAATTTCTTTTTCAATTACATGTGTTTTTGAAATCCAAATTCGGCTCTCAGTTAAATTCGGTTAAAAGGTCCAAATTCGTCTTTCAGTTAAATTCGGGGTACTGTTATAGCCTAAATTCGTC